TGACTTACTTTTTCTTTTTCTTTTTTTCTTTAATCGATCAACTTTTTCCTAAACTTCTTAGAACGGTTCATTGGGAATCAGTCTCATCCTGTTTCAGGTATCCAGCCCACAGCCTTAAGCCAGAAGTGCCAGTTTAGAAACAGTAAACATGCCCTTTGGATAGTCATAAGCGGTGTCTTTTTTGCCTTTGTAAAACAGGTTTTTTGCAATAGTTCTAGTTTGTCAGCTATTCTTTGGAGGCTTTAAATGAGAATGATTCTGAAGCTGCTATTGGTCTCTCCCACCATGCCCCAAGAATTGTCCTGTAGTTTTCTCGTTTCTTCAAGTAACCAAACAAATTCTCTACCACCTATAGATAAACATCAGGGACTTTTTTACCATTATTGGCATTGAGAAAATAATCTGTTAAAAGTTTAAAATCTTTTAAGAGGTCTGTCTCTTTCAATCCCAATAATGGCAAAAAGAAAAAAAGAACGATAAATGCTTTCAGCTCCAACTCAGATTCATCTTCACAATGACCTTGTCTTACTCCGCTACTTGAGTTTCATTGTTAATGGAATTTCCAGTTTGTACTATTCAATTTTAAACACATCTCAGAACGAATTCATCTCAGAAAGAAAGAGTTCAAATAGATTTTCCTTAAAGTCTACTCTTTTAGTCCAGCCCTTTATCCATTAGGATAATCAAAACTAAGATCATTTTTTAATCTCAAGATCCCCAGGATTGTGGTGGGTCACCTCATGTTTTTTCTGATTCTGAAGAACATCTCTCTTTGATTTGATTCCATGCAATTCAGCCCTTCTAGGGTGGAGTCATTGGTTTTCTTGGTACTTTCATAATCTTACTGAGCTATCTTGTAGCTCTCATCAGAACCCAATGAAACAATCCAAGTGTTATCTGTTTAGATAGGGAGATAGGCTATTTCTAATCTTTTACAGTGGAGTCAAGCTAGAGGAGAATGGATCCTCAGTGTCTTGGTAAAATCTTCAATCTCCTGGTGACATTTATTGTTGAAATAGATCTGCTGTTTTATGTGTTTTCACCATTCTCTAGTACTGAGTCTTAGAGAATGAGTCTCTAAGATTAATGAATGTTAGCAAGGACCAACATTCTCATCACACTTTAGTGCACGGGTGTCAAACTCGCCGTGTCACGTGACATGTCGTGACATATCACGACTTTTTGCATTGCTGGAGCTGGGTGGGCACAGCCTCCGTATGATGCAACTGGCCCACAGGCCGGCAGTTTGACACCCCTTCTTTAGTGGCTTCAGCAGGTTTAGTTTGCTTTGTTTCTCTGTATTGTCCATTGGGAATACATCTGCCTTCCAAGCTGACCTGAAATCCTCTTCATTCTTCAGAGACAAATCTTCTGTCTGGACTTTGATTTCCTTTGCTTTGCAGCTTGGAGGAATCTGTCTCACAGTTCCTTCAGGACAAAATACAGTATGTCTGATTTTGTTGGCTTCTTGAAAGCCTTCCAAAAGGATTTCTTATGCAGCTAAATGGAAATTCCTTGAGGTCTTCCCATACATTATCATAGAATCATAGAGCTGGAATAGAACTTAGAGGTCATCTTGTCTTTCTTGCTCAGTATAGATCCATCAGAGAATCACTGATAAATTACCACTTGGACTCTGTTTGAAGACTACATTGAAGCTCCATTTGCCACTTGATGTATCCATGTGTTCCACTCCCAAGTTTATTACATTTTGATCCTTCTGATGCATTTGAAACAGCAAAGCATATGATGTCTTGCATCATCTCCTTTTTTGTTTCAAATCAGTTAATAATTTCATCCTCCAAACTGAAGACTTTCCTTTGTTTTCCCTCTGTTAATGTCAGAATCTCTTGAGGCCATTTCTACTGCCCCAATTCACTTCCTTTCGTGGAAAAGTTGCCTTTCTTGTAGCTATGATAAAGGTTTATCATATAAGCAAGGTGTGTATTTTACAAAGATATTTTCCAGTCCTCATTTCTGGAAGGGACAAAGATATTTCCTTTCTTCCCAGGTTAGTATCAACCTTCCATTTAAAACATAGAACATAGATTCATAGGACTGGAAGGGACCTTGGAGGTCTTCTAGCCCAACCCCTGCTCAAGGCAGGAGATCTTATACCATCCTGATCAAATGGTTGTCTTATTTTTGAAAACTCCCACAATGAAAAACCCACAACTCTAGGAGGCAAGCTATTCCATTGATTAATTATTCTCATTGTCAGAAAATTTCTCTTTCTAGGTTGACTCTTTTTTAAACAAGCTTCCACCCATTACTTCTTGCCCTCCCTCGGGTTTGGAGGATCCCCTCTTCTTTGTGACAGCTCCTCAAGTACTGTAAGACAGTTATCAAGATGTTATATTGTTTACCAATTTTCTTAATTGCTAAATATCACTAGGATCACTGCTTCATTCTTCATGCTTTATGTCACTGAAGTCATTATATATTTCTGGCCTTCCAAAGTCCATCTAAAGTGTGTGATCTAAAGCATGCATGGGGCTCTCTTTGGAATCCAATTGCATCAGAGTGCTGAAGTGGAATTATTTCAAATTTTATGACATTGGATTCAGATTACTGATAGGATAACTAATTCCTGGAATGTTTGAAAATACTAAAAGTCCCAGTTTAAATAAATTTCAGTTTGCATAGTTCGCCTGTTGAGAAGTTTTTGTTGATTGTTGTTTTGGGTTCATTCTCAGTGACCACTGTAGGATTTTACTTTTTGTTAAAGTTATTTTTACATGTTGCTAGCCACCCAGAGTCACATTTGGGAGGAAGGAAGGAAGGAAGGAAGGAAGGAAGGAAGGAAGGAAGGAAGGGACATTAGGATGCTGGTTTAATTGGGTTTCAGTGACTTTCAGTCACAATTTTATTATTAATACTGATTTACTATTGGATGTTTAACATTCAGTAAATGTGAACTTTTGAAAGAGTCCATTATACCTAGTGTTTCATGAAGGATTGATCTGCTTTCTGAAAAAGGTAGTTTTTTGAATTATTAAAGAAATTTCAATGAATTTGCCAAATCTGGCATATTTAGTAATCCCAAATAAAAGCTTAGGTTTTACTGCAGCATTTTACCTCTCAGATTCAAATCACAATTACCTTTGAATTGGTAAATTCTGGGCCATTGCTTGTCTGGTTTTCTAAAATGGCAAAAGGATGCAATTTTTTGCTTGCTAATCTGGAATTAAACCCTATTAAATTCAGAACTGTTTACTTCTGAGTAGCAGTGCATAGAAATCTGATGCAAGAGCATCAAACATCTGTTGCAATCTTTCTGGAATGAAAAACTTGACACGAAAGGAATGCATATCAAACTATTTAAGTATGTAACGTAGTAATGGCTCGTGGTCTGTATCCATTAAAGAATACTGAGCAGCTCTGTATGATCACCCAAGGCAAAATTGTCAGATTTTTTTTATAGCTGACATAAATAGAGACCTTCAATAAATAAACAGCTTTTTTTGTTCATTTGGAATACCAGTAGCCTTAATGCAGTTGTAAATAATCAAAGCTAGTGCAACATTATTCTAAAAACTACCGGTATTCACTTAATAGATTTGCTCGGAGCTTGAATGTTTAAAGATACAGGTAGCTTAAATTGAGTATTCGTCCATGCTGTCTTATACTTTGTTTTGGGTAACATAGCAGGATTCTTGGCTATTTAGTGAATCCTATTACTTTGTTGCCTTTCTAAACTTTCTGAACATTTTTAGAGACATCTGTAGGTGAGTTACTTGCATGCTTGCACTTGTAAGAATCTTCCCCAGAGCACTTTTAAAACACGTTTAAATCTTCTCCAGGGAAGATTCTTGCAGCGGCAAACATATGAGTTGGCATAAAAGGAAAGACAAAGGCTATGTATACATGACCTAGAACATTAGAGGTATTCTGACTGTTTTCTCTAACAATAGGGATTTTTTTCTTCCTATGACAATAGGAAAACATTAGATTTTTTTTACATTTTTTATTAGTTTATCAAAATAGAAAATAGAAAAATACAAAGAAAAATGAAAATAACGGGGATTATGAATAGCGAAGAGGAAAAGTAACACATTTGGGAGAGCACATAATAAACACCTCTCTGATAATCTAGCTAGCTTACATCGAATATTTCTTTAACCAAATTACCAAAGCAATGGAATTCCAATGTTTCGCACTGTCAGAAGTTAGCACTTTTCTTACGTTTCCTGTTAAGACTAAAAAGAAAAATATTGTATGAACAGTAATGCCCATCCTTGAAATCATATTATATTAAAGTGGAATTCTGCAAGCTGGAAATACTTGGGCATTTAAAGAAAAGGAACCCCTTCAGTTTCCCATGCTAAAATTATACATACATATATTTATTGCTTGTTATGCTTCGAAGTATCTCTAAACAATATCCTTCCCCATGTTTTTCTTTACATTTAAATGGAGAATTTCCAAAGTATTGATCTCTAGAGACAACTTGAGTATATCTTAATATGCTTTAGCTGATTTCATGAATCTTATTAGGTTTTATTAGTCATAAGAAGTTCTTTCAGTGCTAAGAAGGCTAATATTATGACATGAAGGTCTAAAAATAAGCACTGAATGTTTGGAGTGTTCTAAATACGCAGAGTCTTTTTCTAATTATAGAAATTAATTTAGCTATAGACCAAGGTTCTCAATTTGCCTTAGACTGTGGTGTTCCTGTGCTGCATAGAATGAAGACAATAAATGAGTTGGATTTAAACTTAATTAAGTTTCAATATGATTAATGCTTCTCAACTTATGACTACAACTGAGCCCAAATTCTATCGCGAAGTGAAACAATTGTTAAGTGAGTTTTGCTCCATTTTACAACCTTTTTGCCACAGTTAAGTTAGTAATGGTTGTAAAGTGAATCTGGCTTCCCATTGATTTTGCTTGTCAGAAAGCTGCAAAAGGTGATTTCGTGACACCCTCCCCGAACATTTCAACCGTCATAAATATGAGTCAGTTGCCAAGCGTCTGAATTTTGATCATGTGACCATGGGGATGCTGTAGCAATCGTAAGTATGAAAAATGTCAATAAGTCGCTTTTTTCAGTGCAGTGGTAATTTAGACTGTTCACTAAAGGAAAGATTGTAAATCGAGGACTATCTGTATGACTATTTGCCAATCATGTGTTTGGTTATTTCCTTTGAATGTCATTAGAAATTGCAGTTTGGTAATTGGCAGCTTCTCCTTAAGGCTTTCATAGGAGGATGTGATTTTAGGCCTCCAATTGTATTCCTCTCCCTTGGATCTCAAAGAGGAAAGATATTACGAATTAATACAGCCCACTTCATTCATTCATTCATTCCTTTTATTTATTTTTCACATTTCTGAACTGCCCATCTCCTCAAAGAAGGCTTGTGGGTGATGGAGTTAATAACTTTAATAACAAAACATATTGTGTAAATAAATGGTTTGAATAAATAAGAATTGGTTTTGATGGTCAGAAAAGCAATTTGTCAGCATTTCTTTTGAAATTTTAAGATTGGTGGGGAAGACCTCTCTGGGAGGAGTTAGAAAATATGAGTGCAATCCAACCTGCAAAGATGCTTGGTTGAGCACAGAAGAATGACTGCTAATTAAAAGCATGAAGATTAAGAAACATACACTGTCATGCAAAGAGATTTCCATGTTTAAAATGAGCTTTAAAAATAAACAATTAAATCAGTATACAAAGTAGTGGAGCAACTGGGGAGTGAAGTATACAAATATTTACAAAGTATTGAGCCAGATGTAAAAAACACCAGCAACTTTAATGCTCCAGAGAGGTACAATAACTTTCTTTTGTCTACTGTTGTTTGTTTTCCCATAAATATAATAGAAAGTATGTAAGATTTCTGGAAGAAACGTGTTCACATTTATGTAAAGAAGCAAATTGTGCTCACTTTTATGTAAAGAAGTAAATCTATATTTATTTATACATCCATTATACAGTAATAAGAGTAATAAGATAATAAAAAGAAATCAATCTGTAACATCAGATTTGATCAATACTACCATTCAATAAATAATGCAAGTGGAAGTGTCACCACAATCTATAAATGCTCGATGAATGAACTTAAGATTTATGTGATTCCTGAGTGACATCAGGCAGGTAGCAAGGCAAATTTCAACTGGAACGACATTCCAAAGAATAAGTTCTGTCATTAAAACAGGACCATATTAACTGCATTTCATTAGAGGACTGCATTGACGGGGACAAGTCTAATTGGAGGAGGCAGACTTTGAAATACCTAGACGTCAAGCCATATGTGGTTTTCTAGATCTAAACCAACATTTTTTAACTGTCTATTGGAAACCAATGCATGGCCGATAGCATAAGGATAACATCTGGCGTTAACACACGGGCCACTCCATTCTGGACCAGGCACAGCTTCTTAGCAGTCTTTAAAAGCAAGTAAATATTATGTCTTGCAGGAATTCAACTGAATAGTGATGAGTTACCATGACAAGCTCTATCCATTTCAAGTAAAATTGAAATTGCCACACTAGCCAGAGTTGAATAAAGATCCCTCTGGCTAAGGCTTCTACTGCAGCTCTAGCAGTAGTTGTGCTTCTAAGAGGATGCAAAACAACTTATGAAATATTTCAGGAATGTTTTTATAGGACCATAATACCTATTAAGAGCAATCATGAAAGTCGCTATCTCAGTCATAAAAAATAGTGTCCACTATCAAAATGTTTATATTCCATTAGTGTTAAATCTGCTATAAAACATGCTTTATTTGAATATTAACTAATATAATTTTTTTCCAATCAAAGTCCTAGATGTTGAAAAAGATATTAATTGATAGAATATGTGTTTCTTGCAGCTAATAATACCAGGTTATAATTTGTTAATTTTTTTAAGTCCGTTTAGATGCCAAGCTGACTACTTTATGTACCATGCTTCCTAGTAGACAAAATATTCCTGACTGTCAGTTTCCCAACATTAGAAACCTCCAGAGCTGTAAAAGGCACACTAAATGAACAGTGTGTAATAGAATGGAGTTGGTATATGAATCCTTTAAAAAAAGTATAATATAAAAACTAAAAGAAGTTCCTTCTAACTGTATTAATTTTAAAAATAAGGCTCACATAGCTTTTAGCCATTTTAGGAGGAAGAAAGGATAAGAAGACAACAAAGAAACAGAACTGTTGTTTATGAGACAAGAGACAAAAGATATAGGAGGAAAAAATTAACTTTCTTCAATTTTGCAAGCATACATGCCAAATTATACATATTTGTGAAGTTGAAGCACATTTGCAAGATAAAGATAAATCATAATTTTATGCCCATAGCATTTTAGTTCAGTGACTTATTGGGCAATTTGTTACCTTTAATGTAGATATCCATGAAAGATTGCCTCTAACTCTTAAGTGCCTGTGATCTCAAGTTGAAAATCAGCTGGCAATGAGATTTCTTGATTTTACAAATTTTATTAATTTTTCAAATAAACATATGGACAAATAATACAAATATGGTGCATTTCATTAGAAAAACAAACACATAAAAAAGCCTACTCAGTAAGTATTCAGAAATAACCAGCGGTCCCCCCTCCCCTGCATCCACACTCCCTCAACCTTCCTACCTACTTCCCTCCTCCTTCCTCCCCCTCTTAACCACGACCTCTCCTCTTTCCTCCTTTCCAACTATCCTACACAACCCATCACCTTCTTTTCCACCACCTCGGATGCAGTTTAGGGGTACTAGCCGACCATCTCCTCTTCTTAAAGACAAACATTTACATTATATTTATAAATACACCAAATTTTATATAATTCTACCCCTTCATCCCCTTCCCCCCTCCCCCCCCCGGACTTCCCAGAACTGAGTACAGGGATAAATACATAACATCACAAGTCTAAAATAAGCTATCCATTCATAATACAAACAAAATTAACATACTTTAACTCTAACATACAATAATAAACTTATAAAATATATATATAAATTATATTAAATATATAAATAATATTAGAAAAGAAAAATATTTATTCAAAAGCTATATGATAATTAATCACTTCATACTTTCTCTTAATATAATCTATCCATCTTCTCCATACCAAGATAAATTTTTCTTGAAATTGATCCTTCAAGTATGCGGAAATTTTTGCCATTTCTGCAAAGTATGACACCTTCAATCTCCAATCATCCATAGTCGGTAATACCTCTTTCTTCCAGTTTTGAGCAATCAGTAATCTTGCTGCTGTTACACAATACAACATCAGATTCATTTCTTTAGGATCCAAATTTTCCATAATACCCAGTAAAAATAATTGCGG